CCTAGGGCGAGACTGGAACTCATAATCCTCAGTTTTTAGCCTGGTGCCTTAACTACTAAGCCAAACTGGCTCTCACAGCAGAAAATTATAAGTAATCATGTAAAGCTTTTTACTTCATAGGGAAGGGCAAATGTTTGCGTGCCTTGGTTTCCAGTGCAGTATTTACTATCTCCGCAGCTTTTGAGGTTTCCTTCCATTAATTCAGTGGTTCTCAACCTTTTTAATGCTGCGACCCCAACCGGTCGTAAGTCGAGGACTAAACCGGTCGTAAGTCGAGGACTAAACCGGTCGTAAGTCAAGGACTACCCAACCGGTCGTAAGTCGAGGACTTTCCCTGCCCGGGAGCACCGCACATGCGTGGTTCCGCCCCCTGCGCCGGCCGAGGCATAGCTGGCAAGCAGCAGAGACGGAGCAGGCCGACCACCAGCTGGCCCAGCCCAAGGGAGGTAAGGCACCCACCGGAAAAGGGGAAAAAAATGGCGGACAGCCTTGCTTGGCGACCCCCATGAAATGGTCGATCGACCCCAAATGGGGTCCCGACCCACAGGTTGAGAACCACTGCATTAATTAACCTGGAATTCAGATACTATGATAGTATGTAGCGCATGAGGGAATATCAAAAAAGGCATAAAAATCTCTATTCAGAACGTGAATTGGCTGCCTTTTTGTGCAAGTGAACATACTTTCAACCACTTCTTTAAATGTGGGAGTTCAGAGCACTCTCTGAAGTCTTTTCAATATTGATGAGGGAGAATAGAAGAATCAAACACCAAGGGTAACCTTCCTTAACAATGATTTGTTGCATTAGTTATTCTTATATTTCAAATCATTCTACTCTTTGTTCAGCTTTAAAAGGTGCCTTATTGAATTTGTCACCATTTGTTTATTTAAACGTAGAGTATTTGTGATTTTTTAAAAATCCCATGACTTGGGATTTAGGGGCCAGGAAATAACATTAAAAATTAGAAAAGAGTTGAAAATTCAAATTGCCAATATATTAGGAAACAGCTATCCCATTTGTCCATTAATGAAGTAAGACTGAACAGGTATGAAGTTTTAAGTATCTGGAGATTATTGCTCTCAGTATTATATCTTACAAAAAGCATCTCTGAGAGAGATGGGTGGTTCAAAAATGTGAAAAATAAATAAAAAATCAAAGGCCATAGTCCAAATGCTGAATATAGTATTGTGGTAATGTTGGACTTCTTTTTGTTCCAGGAATTGTCATTTTATCCCACTTCCTGCCTTTTTTTCTTTTGAGGCAAAATTCTAGCACAATTCTTACTTGGATTTTAACTTGTTATCATAACCCAAATTACACCCTTTATAATTAATCCAATTGAATTTTTTCATTGCATTCCTGGTTTGGGTTTCCTTATCAAATTCTGTCCATTTTCTAGGAATCACCTTTGACAGACTAGGTTTCAATGACATGGTTTCTAAGAGCCGTGGTGGTGCAGTGATGAGAATGCAGTATTGCAGGCTAATTCTGCTGACTGCCAGCAGTTCGATCCTGACCGGCTCAAGGTTGTCTCAGCCTTCCATCCTTCTGAGGTCAGTAAAATGAGGACCCAGATTGTCCAGGACAATATGCTGACTCTGTAAACTACTTAGAGAGTGCTGTAAAGCACTATGAAGCGGTATATCTCTAAGTGCTATTGTATTGCTATTCTCTTGAAGGATATTTTTGACACAAGTGTTACAAAGTGAATATTAAGAGTTATGGGTTATAACCAACTGGATATTTCAGTGATTACAGTTTACTATAATTTAAGGAGTCCCTGCGAGTTTTACTCCACTAGTCATAGCCAGTTTTAGGGGTGATGCTCATCTCTTTAAGCCTTCTGAAGATGTTTCCATATTCATGTAGCCAGCATGTCATCATGCCACAGCACAAAGCATATGGAACATGAAATGCCGTTACCTTCCCACCAAAGTGGTACCTATTTATCTACTTACATTTGCACATTTTGAATTGTTAGGTTGGCAGGAGCTAAGGCAAGTGACAGGAGCTCATTCCACCCTCATGCAGTGGTAGGATTCAAAGTTTAGACCTTTTCCAGCATTTTCTAAGCCACTGAACCACTGTGCCTCTTACTATAATTTATATGTAACAAATTGTTCTTTGAAGCTATAAAATTATCTACCGTATTTGATATGTCATTTCCTACTTAGAGAAGAATCTGTTTGCTACTGTGGCTCTTATGAATCAACAGGATATGCCCTCTTAAACTGTGTACTTGATAGAGGTATACGACACAGACTTATCGTCTCTTTTTTGCTTCTCCATTCAGGCAAACATAGGTGCATGTGTGTGTGTGGTGTGTGTGGATAAATTTTTGCATGTCAGCCCAAAGCAGGCTTGGTTAATTTCTTTTAACTGTGAAGCTCAGGTAAATTTGTTATTTTGGATTACTATGATTTTATGCTAATTTATGTCACCTCGAATATATATGTATACTTGTTCTTGATCTGGTCATTGACCAAAGGAAAATGATAATGAACTGGAAGAATGCCTATTCACCTGCAGTACAGGTGACAATAGGATGAAAGCAAACATTTGCAAAGGTTGCTAAGAAATTTCCTCCTATGACACTTTTTCTGTCTCAGCAATTCCTGGCTAACCTTGATTGCAGCAGAAAAAGCAGGAGAGTATCCAGATTAATTCTTCAAAGGAAGACCTCTAAGAAATAAACCAATTTCTAGTTCTGACTGTACATAACACTTGGTAAAAGGCAGTGGGGTACTGCTTCCTTACAGATTGTAGCTAAGACTATTGTATGGGCATGTCTACAAGGTAGTAGTCCTATTCAAAGCAGAGCATCCATCATAGTAATTTTGGGGCTAGGGATGTGTAATCAGACAAAGAATATCAGATTCTAGAACCAGGATACTCCTGATGTGAGACAGCTGATTATGCTTTTTTCCAAGTTGTGAAATGCTGCACCTCCAGATTTTTGCAGATCACACTATTGTGATGTGCTATACTTGCACAGGAAAGAAAATCCACTTGGTTTTCTTTTTTTTTCTTTTTTTTTCTTTTTTCTTTTTTGGATCAGCAATCCTATTTATAAATGGTTAATACAAATGTTCTTAATTACATGATTACCTCTTATACCATGTTAAATTTTACCTAAGAGTGGGACATTGATGATTATTTATAGTGAAGGGGATTCATTGTTTTGCCTACCCAAAACTTGACAAAAAGAAGAAAAGACACATAGCCACTCTTTTACACAAAATCCTAAAGACATGTCAAATGATGAACGAAAGTAATCAGTTTATGTGCTGTAACTCAGACTAGGTGTATTCTGCATATGTTGTATGTGTATGGTTATGTATCTTTGCCTGGATGATTGAGAATCTTCATCGACATTGTGTATAGTTATGGTGCTTAATGAGAAAAAACATAGATTGTATTTGATCATTTGTAGAAAGGTTGTGCATTTATTTCCTCTCAGTCTTCCCAACTGCTTCAAGGCAAGCAGCTAATTTCCTCCCTTTTCCCTTTTTCCTTTTCCCTTCCCTTCCCTTCCCTTCCCTTCCCTTTCCTTCCCTTCCCTTCCCTTCCCTTCCCTTTCCTTCCCTTCCCTTCCCTTCCCTTCCCCTCCTTTCCCTTCCCTTCCCTTCTTTATATATTTAGATTAAATTATATTAGTGATCAACAAATTTAAAAAAAGAGAGAAAAGTCATAAAATGAACCTTCCCTCCTTTTGGATGTTTTTCCTGTCCTTTTTCAATCTGGATATCTGTCCCTGATTCTAGATTCTAACTATTGGTTGAGGCAGACCATTCAACTTTCTTTGACTAGAATAAAATGGCAGACAGTCTGATTCTTGTCCTTTCACTGTTCTATTCCAACAGCACAGATTCAACTATGAGTTCTCCCTTTTTCATAATATTATTGCATCTGCTGTGATTTGTCTACTAATGCAAATAAATTTCAGACTCTTTATCATTCCATTCTAAAATTAATGTTCTAAAATTAATAGTGCTATCTCTGTCAATGATTCTTACAAAATTAAGTAAGGCAGTAACACAATTACTTGCGATTTTTAATGTGCTTTTGGTCCTAGAGAGAAGGATACATATGAACCATAAAGTAGCATTGCCGCATCTCGAGAAAGGAAACACAAAAACCAAAACATAACATGTATTTCAATAAAAGTCACGTGCACTTATTTCAATAATGTAAGCATTTTGGGAAATCTGAATAGAAATCGTCTGAAGAAATGGAAGATTAGAAAAGTAACATCCAGATTTTCAACTTTCTGATATAGACAAATTGCCTTTTTTTTTTAAAGTTATATTTTGCCAAACATGGAAATGCTGCAAGTAGAATGGTGAGTGCTAGAAAAACTTGGAACAGAATCAAGGGCAGGAAATGTTGCTGAAAGTGTCATTTGTTTATAAGTAACTAAAATCTTAACAATTTTGATAATTATTTTTCAAAAAGACTTTAGACAGAATTCCATAGCAACTGTCCATGGAACTCATCCCATTACATTAATTGTAATGCTATTAATTAGAAATATGAGAACGGCCCTAGGTGCTTTGCAGAATTTAACTCTTAAGAGAGATTAACTTAATGGAATTAATATTTTCTCTTCTCTCTTCCACTAAGCGGCCCTATAGATCAGGGGTCTTCGAACTTGGCAACTTTAAGACTTGTGGACTTCAACTCCCAGAATTCCTCAGCCACCCCATTGAATTAATCTTTGCATTTCCTCTAGATCTCAATATATAAGCAAGATTGAAGCACCCTTCTATCTGTAAATAGCACTGTATCCAGTGGTGGGATTCAGCCGGTTCGCACAGGTTTGGCAGAACTGGTAGCTAAATTTTGTTGAGTTCGGAGAACCGGCTGAATGAACACTGCTTCGAGAAGTCCGTTCTAGGCCTCGGAGGAGGCTTCCAAGGCCTAGAATGGCTTGCTGGAAGTGCATGGATGCCACTTCTGGAAGTACGTTCTCGGCCTCGGAGGCCCAGGCCTGCATCCAATAAGAGAACCGGTTGTTCAGATATTTGAATCCCTCCACTGACTGTATCATCACTGAGGAACTGATCTTCAGCAACAGCCACGCAGAATCTACGGAGAACCACTCTTCAGTTATGCCATTAGTTAGACTTAGAGATGGAACTGCTTCCCACTTCTTGTGAATTGGAGTCAACCTTTAATCTATCCCATGAATAGGACTCTTACTTATTTCAGAGGTGTCACATAACTATCTTTGCTGGTTTTGACACAATGAATGAGAGAGAGGATTATTTTGGCCAAATGCCAACTCACAGACAGAACTTCTAATTCCAGCATAACTTGGGGCAATTACTGTACGTCTGATATGTAAAGGCATCCAATAAATGTGACTGTAGTTTCCCCATATGTACCAACCTAGAGACACATGGTTAATGTTAAGTCTAATAATATATAATATTTATTGTATACTTAGTTATTTTAAAACTCCACATATTGAGACAAACAGATTTCCTACAACAAGCCATATGACAAAATACTCTCCAAGCAGTAGAGAACACCAGAAGAAAAAAAAGACACCCACTTAAAAGCTGCTGGTGTCAAGCAATTCTTTTTTCTGCTTTTGCCCATATTTAAGTGATACAATCTTTGCTACAAAAAAAGAAAAAAAAGGTGAGGGTAGAAATCTATGTTGCCAGAGAGTTGCCTATAAAAGCTGGCCATATTACAAATATTATGCTCAAGAATATGTTTCAGCTTTGAGATTATATTATATATCCAGCTGGAATGAAGAAAGCAATAATAATTTAAAAAAACCTGTAGTAAAATTATGTGTAATAATTTGGCTGTTGGAAACAGAAAATCCAAATGGATTCTGTTCGGTCCTGGCTGGTCATAAAAATATAATTGGTAATAAGCTAATGTAAAATGATAGTTCCCAATCTGCCATCTTCGTTAGGCTGTCTCATTCTGCAAGAACTGCTTCTTTTAAAACATTTCCATAGGGGATTTAAATTGTGTATGTATAATTTGGATGGATATCGGGATTGATGTCGTACACTTTGCCTAACAGATGACCAAGCACATTCTCCATGTTCTTGTGATAATTATTAGTGAGGCCTTGGATCTTTGCTGCAGTTTCTTCATCTATTTTTGTTGATAGATTATCATGAGAGCCCATTATCTGCAAAGACAAAACAAGGTATAATATGTAAAGTAAGCAGAAATGTCTATACAAGTTTCAAGAGAACTCAACAGCAGGATGCTGTTATTCAAAAAGTCCTTTCTTAGGGAGTTATCTCTCTTGCTATCTTGCCTCTTGTGGGGATTTAGGATTATGGGCTAGAGAGGTTTGTGTTGGGTGTGTTTGTATGTATTTATCTCTCTGAAGCAGCCAAAGAAAATAAAAAACAAAAAAATAGAAGATGGAAAAGTTGATACAAGACTATCTACAAAGCTAGTGCACTTTGCTACCCCCATGCTAAATTACCAGTTGCTAAATTGCCAACTTAGTATCACAAGATAAATTGGTTTCAAAGAATTACTAATCAAGGAACCAACAACAACACTCCCACCAACACTGATAGGGCAAGCCACTAGTACAGGGGTCCCCGACCCCCAGGCCATAGACTGGCACCAATCTGTGGCCTACCGGGAACTGGGCCATGCAAGTGAGTGAAACCCCTTCTGCGCATGCACAGGAGGCAGCTAGCATGTGAAACCACACCCTTCCAGTCCCTGGAAAAGCCACTCTCCACAGAACCACTCCCTGGCACCCAAAAGATTGAGGGCCACTACACTAGTATATAAAAAGAGAGCAAACCCCACACTCTTCTAACACTTATATTCTCTAGTTGGGTAATGAAACATCTGCAACAAAACAAAACCGTTTCAGCAGTTCCAAGAAGGCGCCACACCATTTGCACCTTTCAGGTGACCTTGAGGCACAGATAAACCTCCAAGTGGCCTCAACAATCTCTAAAAGAATGCAAATGACCAGCTGTCTGCAAGGAATACAAATCCTTCCATTTCCTACCATCCAGTCAGAGTTGAATAAGCTTCTTGGATGAGAAGCAAAAAGTCTTCAAAACAACAAAGTCCAGTTGCATCTTGAAAAAGCACCTTTGGGAGAAGGAGTATTAGGTCTCAACTTCCATGCCTTAATTACTAGAGCACTTAGGTTGAGTTTTAGGTCTCTGAGAGGCAGTGTGGTATAGTGATTTAGATGCTGGGTAGGGCAGGTATACTCAGATTCAAGTCTATCCTCAGACACTCAGCTCAGTTTACCTCACCAACTTGTTATTGTGAGCAAAAAATAATAATAAGTGCCAAGTATGCCACTTTGACTTCTGAAGGAGAGGTGGAACATTAATCAATCAAGATATATAAACAGTTTTTAAAAGTGATACACAAAGTAAGAGAAATGTCTCCGCAGGCCTCACATGGTTAATTTGGGTTGGAAAAATAATTTGATTTATCTTTTTTCCTGATATTTCATTGTTTTCCTGATATTTCATTTGATCAGTTTATTGAGTGAATATACTTAACTGTGTGCAATATTATATTGTTACCCATTGTTATAACCATCATTGATGCAGAGTTGGAAAAAGTATGTAATTGTATCCTGCAGCATTCCATACTAAGCACGAATTTGCCTGAACAGTATGCACAGGGTTGGGGTTTTGTGATAATTTGTTTTTAATTAACTAAATATTTGACAGATTGTGGTGGAAACAACATTGACCTACCATTTAATTAAATGATATTTCTACATCAATTGAACAATTTAGCAAGGTGATGTTAAAAACAGATGCATACATTCCAAACTGTGACTCCTTTCTTCTAGTTTTGTGCTTCCTTTTCACACCAATTTAAATGTTTTAACCTTACAGAATTCTAAATACACTACTTGGGAATTGCTGCCAAATATGTGGGCAAAACCCTTTCATCAATCTTTACTTTTTCAGAGGAGACCTTCAAGAACGACTAATATGAATGACAACAGATATAAGATTAAATTTTCTACTCACTGATTTTTTTTTAGTGCATAAAAACAGTGACTTTTTATGAACTTAATCCTCAGCCAGGGATCACACTGACCTTTGAGAAATAGGCAACCTAATTTTAAAAGATCAATCAGTTGCCTCAGTCAGTTTAGGTGTCTGACTAGGGTGGTCACCTTCTCTCTGTAAGATGGGCCAGATCAAGAAACAGTCTCCACAAGAAGTTTAGAAATAGATGTTATTGAGATAGATTATAATAACAGAATCTTGCAAATCTGCTAGTGTTTTATCTTTCCTCCTTCTTGTACCCTCTTTGAATCAAGCAGGGAGCCAGGCTGAGGATAGGGATAATAATTTTAATATTATCCTCTTTCCTGAGGTTTAAGGAATGTTTCTGGTAACAGCAACAACAACAATCATAATCTATATTTTGTATTATTTACATCAAATAATACATCAAATTTACATCAAATAAGGAAAAACTGCTGGAATTGGATATGTCTAGTTTAATGAAGAGAAGGACGAGGGGGGACATGATAGCAGTATTTCAATATCTCAGAGGCTGCCACAAAGAAGAGGGAGTCAAGCTATTTTCCAAAGCGCCTGAAGGCAGGACAAGAAGCAACGGATGGAAACTAATCAAGGAGAGAAGCAACCTAGAACTAAGGAGAAACTTCCTGACAGTTAGAACAATTAACCAGTGGAACAACCTGCCTCCAGAAGTGGTGAATGCCCCAACACTGGAAGTTTTTAAGAAGAGACTGGACAGTCATTTGTCAGAAATGATATAGGGTTTCCTGCCTGAGCAGGGGGTTGGACTAGATGACCTCCAAGGTCCCTTCCAACTTTATTATTATTATTATTATTATTATTATTATTATTATTATTATTATTATTATTATATCAGGAATAGTAGATAAGCTTTTTACTTGCTCAATAAAGGAATGTGTGCATTTCACACATTTCACATTTCATAATGCATTGGCTGTATGAACAGCCAATGCATATAATTTAAAGTTGTGGAAATAGAATCACAGAAGGATTGCAAAATCTGAATTGTGATGGATTGTAGGCCAGAGTTACAGGATAGAGGGGCTCTTTCCCAGTAAGAAAGAGATAAAGAAGCTTAGAATCTTTGGTAAGAACTCCCCCTAGCAGTTCTCAGGGACTATCTGGTAGTTATGCAAATAAGCGCTTTAGTTTGGCAAGATTTCTGTCTATAGGCAAACAACAATATTCTGAAGCAATTCAGCACGTTGTTCTTGGCTCTTTGGGCCTGACAGATTACACAAAATGTATGAACAATTCCTAATATGTACTGCTCCTGCTTTTCCCAGTTTGTGATTTCAGATACTTGATTTCCATCTGCCATCAGCCCTAGCCAGCGTAGCCCATGTAACTAGTCAGAAACGTCTTGAGGACTTCAAACTAGAAAGGTTTTCAATGATCTAACCTTCCCTTGACATTCTCACTTACTTTGGAATGCTTCCGTCTGAAATCTTTTTCCCTCTGGAGCCTGTAGTGGTCTATCTCTGCTATGGCTTCTTCCTTGGCCTGCTTCAGTCTCTTTCCTTTTCCTGAAAAAGAAGCCATACCATTTTAATTGGATTATTTTATTTACTGCAGGTCCCCAAGGTAACACACACATTTCATTACAAGCCTATTCTTAATTCATTGCCAATAAAAAGTTAATGGATATATTAAAAGAATAAAAGTAAATCCACGTAAATGTTCATATGCATATCACATATAGTGTTCTACAAGGAAGGACAGAACACAGTCCTGACATCTCATCAGGTATAGTGTCTCCATATCAGAATGCATATATCCATATGTGTATATATGTACAGCCATGAAATTAATAAGCATGTGTGCATCTTGCATTTTGAATCTCTCTCTCTTTCTCTCTCTTTTCAATCCTATCAAAGGGAATCTTACTTATTTGCCTAATTTATGCAAATAATGGACTTTTAAAAGAATGTATAATGAATCTATTTTTTAAAGGTTATGGATAAATCTAAGACCAAGCACAACTTTCTTAATTGTCCTCATTCTCTGTTCTCTATGTGCTAACTATGGGGAGAACATTTACATTTATTTTGTTATATTTTTTTTGTGTTACTATGTATTGACTTTAGGATCAGAAATATTGTCTTTACGTACTTTCACATCAACAATCAAATGCTTCCAGGTTTCCTTACTGAAGAACATTGATACTGTCACAGAGCATTGCTCATTGAAACCTGGACAACTTCTTATATGACCTGAACTTTAAATCAAAGTTCTTTTTGTTTTTTGCAATAGTCAGAGAACAGATTGTAGATGCTGTTGTCAAGAAAAGGCATGATTCTGCAAGGTTTGCCTAACTGATTTTCTGACAGGAACCTTTCAGTTCACAACAATTGAATTTTGTTAAACTCTGGCATAAATCCAAACCAATACAATGTTACATCTCAGATCCCTAAATTGCACAATTTACATTTATTGAGTTTCCGCCTCCCCTTCGCTATTGTTTGCTAGTGGGAATATTAAAGCACATTCTGAGCACTAACACATTGTTGACATGAAGGTAAAGGTAACATCAAAGTCTAGTGACTCATTTCATAATAAGGGTAATATGACAACAGTGATGTCCAGCTGATTTTTTAAAGTATTAACATAATGCTTAATATCTTGGTCTTGCAAATTCCAGTTTAGTCAGGTATTTAGGTATTTATGCATTTATTTGGATTAATCGTTCTACCTACGGTTGAAGTGTTAAAATGAATCCTATGAGGTTTTTAGCTCCATATGATGTTCTCTTAAATATGAAGCTTTAGTACACAGAAGAGACAGCCCTCTTTCAGATGCAAAAGGGCATTGTACATTCCATTTTAAGCAGAGTGTAAAGACATGAATTTAGGAAAGTATTGAAACAACTAAAAGAGACCTGGACAAGTTCTAGCAGCCAGAAGGAGAAGAATTAATGTTCTTACACTGAGATTCCATTTCCGTCTAATTTAGATAAGAAAAAAGGATGACAAGAAACATTCTGAAAGTGTTGATTGCCCCCTACTTAAGTTATAATTTCTTCCAGTTCTTGAGCTTTGCCTATTAATGTATGTAAAATTTATAAAACGCCATCTTGCGTCCAATAATCACATCCTAAAGAAAAACACAGCTTCTGAAGAATTGCAGAGTACTCACTCTTTAGAAATCTAGAATGGCTAGAACTATAGACTGATCGGCAGCATTCTGTATGCTTTATACTTACAACTGCAGAGACAAACCATTAGGAATGACACCCAATAGTTTCAAGTTTTCAACTTGCTTTGCAAATAGCCCAGACCACACAGCTTGTATAGTTACATACCATGGAAGAGGTGATAATGCAAGCATGTTTTTGCATTCCAGGCAACATGCAGATGTGTGTAAAGGAATTGATCAGACACAGCTATTTTGTGACAAAGCACATGAGGTAAGTTGTTCCAAGTTTCAGTGCAGTAATGAGGGAATTAGCCATATCTGAAGTTAGATGCATTCTATCTAGCCCTGTATTCACATTTATCTCTTCTGCCAGAATTTAGATTAGACGTTCCACTGCTGAAGGGGTCCTGTCTCCATAAAAAAGGCAATACAGTGCTGTGTCTGGTGTCCTGTCAATCAGAAGCAATGTCATCAAAAGCAAGTTTATAGAAAAGTGAAGGAAGAGCTGTCATACCACAGTACTACAAAAAGTAAGGAGAAACAAAACAGTTGGAGACAAAGACTTGGTTTTTGGCATACTGAAAATGTTGCATGGCTTCCTATTGCAGCTAACAGAAGTAAAACTACCCATGGCATTGAAACTGAAGATAAAACAGAATACGAAATCAGCATAGTTTACTTTTTCAAGAAATTGCAATAAAGTACTGAAACATTGTGGAATAGTGAAAACTAAAGCATTCTTCAGAACACCAAATGTTTATTTTCGTTGTCTTAAAAATAATGCTTAGGTGACTTTTGGTTTGGTGGGCAAATTTAGAATTTTTAAAACAATTTGTGGGCTTTCTTATAAAATGGCTGCCCTTATTCATAAAATGTCTGCCATAGAAAGTATGTCCTGTGAAAAAAATGCCAGTTTATCAGGAGGCAAACTAGTGAAGGGGTCCTTGCCAGTCTAGAATAATATCCAATTTTTATCAAAGATAAGCAAAGATAAGCAAAGCAGTAGGCTCTAATCACTCATTATTATTTTCAGCCTCTGAGTTTATGTAGTCTCTAAAACATTCTTGGGAATAAGCATTATGTTAGAAATTTGTTTGTAGAATTACAGCTTCCCTGAAAAGAAATAAAAAAGAACCTTGGAAACAAAATCACATGGAAGCCAAATGTACATCATAGAAATTATTTACTAAAATCAAATGGTCTGTTATGGTTTAATAATATGACTACACATTAATAAAGCTCACATGCCTTTTCTTCTATTCCCTTCCTGTGAACAGGATATGTTTTTGTGTTAACCACAATTAACAATATATATGTCATCAAAAACTATGATTTAATTTATCTTTGTTTTGAAGAAGCATGCTGAAAGCACTTTAAAAAAAAACTGTGGAGAAAGGCCTCATGACTCCGTTGTAATGTTACAATACCTGCAGATTGGAAAAGCTATTAGCATAGCCTTTCATCTCAGCTTGGAAGCCATTATTAACCCTCATATATATTCTTTAAGTTGCCATGCCATGTTGGACTGAGTTATGTTACACACTGGAAACTGGGCATGGCACAGCTGAGGTCAGAAATCCTGGATCTGTGTTTTGAGACAACTTTGAATAGAACTGATCAATTTGGCAGTGCATTCTTTGTCAATGAGAACCAACATTCTGAATTAGTAGATTTAAGAAGTGGTCAAACACTAAACGAACTGAAAACTTTTTCAGACCTTATGTCAGTTGTGCTAATGTTGCTTAACTGATGACTAAGTGAGTGATGAAGCCAAAGGCCTGAAGTGAACTCCATTAAGCAATCACTTTGAATATCATTTTGTCTTCAAAGGTACAAACAATCCTCTGTCCATTGATTAATTTCACTTGCCCAGATCTAGGTATTATGTTGAGGTCTTGGATTAGGCAAACTATTTTGCAATATAGGCTTATTTTCCCTCCCTTAAAAAGTGCCTTATTTATTGTGATTAAAATTTAAGATGATTGGGATGCAACATGTTAAGTAACTATTCTGAAGATTTCAGGAGTTATTGCTTTGCCAGCTGAGAATTATAGGGTGAATCCAAATATGTCTATTTAATTTCAATATCACATCCAATATGAACATTTTTGGACTTTCAGCCATGGATATAAAAATGTCTTGAAAAAGGGAATGGCAGTGTTTAATCCTTGAATAGAAATTATAGTTGTAACATCTACTATACCACGCAGATAAAAAGAATCCTATGTGGATCTTGCTTCTATGAAATGCAGAAGTTTATGTTCTGAGCTTCAGGGTTACCTGTGGATCCTGAAATATCCATCCATCCATCCATCCATCCATCCATCCATCCATCCATCCATCCATCCATCCACCTGCTACTTTTGAAAACTGAAGAAGCTGTATATCCTTCCAAGGTGATATCTACCAATATTGAGATAGAGCAATGAAGAATCATATGGGATTCGAGTAGGGATACATCAAATATTTCTGATGAGATATGTCAGGATCTTTTATTTTTCTCCTAATTCCTTAGATTAGCCTTTCCCAACCTGTTATTCTGAAAACTGGGTTGAAATTTGCACAGAAGGTTGCTTTTGAGAAGAACTATCCAATTCATTTTGGAAATCCACTTTGGCATAATTTGTTGGCCACTATATTATTTTCTGTGCTTCAGCTTCAATTTTTGATGGATTTCCAGTAACACTTGGTTTCATTACTACAGAATATCTATATAAGAATGACTGTTCTGGACCATGGTAAACCTGACTAGAACATGTATCTGTATGTTAGGATATCTGGCATTTATTGGGTTAAGTGCTGTCTCCCTAAGAGATGGCTTATGGGTAATGTAGTTTTAGCTAGTCAGCTGTATCATGTTAGTAGGTTAGTGGGAGGAGTTTCTAAAGGGCATCATAGGATTTCCTGGACACAAGCCAGTTTTGGAATGTCTTTGTCTGAGATAAGCATGGGCCATCGGAGGTCAGATGGCTCTGCTCCACATGAGAAGTTGATGTGGAGAAGTTAATGAATTTACCTAATGGAGATCAACAGATTGCTTTGTCCAGATGGAATCTACCAATAGCAAGTATTGTTTCTAACTGAATAAATATATATCTGTTCTAAAATCATCTTCATTTGAGTTTAATCTGTCTGAGATTGGATCATAGGGACATTTTGATTCATGACCAAAACAGTAAATTTATTAACTTCTCCACATCAACTTCTCACTTGGAGCAGAGCCATCTGACCTCCAATGATATGTGGTCTCTCACTTCATTTCATGATTGTATTTTATGATTATAATTATTACTTGTTGCTTGTATGTACACAGAGAGCTTATGCATTGGAGACAAATTCCTAGTGTGTGTCCAATCACATTTGGCCAATAAAGAATTCTATTCTATTCTATTCTATTCTATTCTATTCTATTCTATTCTATTCTATTCTATTCTATTCTTTGGAAACTGAGTAAATCAGCCAGCTATTTCCGTATAATGGATATTTTTCAATTACTATCAATATTGTAGATATTCAATATCAGGTTGTGTAATAACCAAGTGCACCTGAAGCTAGAGCAAAACCTGTTGCTCACTCAAGGTGAATGAAAAACTAATGGCTGGTTTGGATCCCAGTAATGTTTATTCCCAAAGCATTTGGGTTGTGTGATTTGGTCATTTACACATATAGTTGATTACAAGGATTGGGATCCAGAATGCTTTCATTCATGGACTTACACAAGTTTAAACACATTTAAAAAACATACTCATGTTCTGAACTGAAATATGCCAGCAGGATAAGCCAAGTTGCAAGTGATCCTTGTCCTGTATTTTGAAGGCATAGTGTAGAAAACAATAATCAGATACTTCATACTTTTCGATATATATTTTCTATCAAGGCTTAGTTGAGAGATGAATTTCTAATGTTTTCTTTTCTAGAAATAATTTGTAAACTTGCTTACTCAAAAAATAAACCAGTTTTGTGTGTGTGTGTGTGTGTGTGTGTGTGTGTGTGTGTGTGTGAGAGAGAGAGAGAGAGAGAGAGAGAGAGATGTATCACCTTAAACTGGAAAAACCAATGCACGCAAAGGTGATTTTCAGTAGGCTGTGAAAGCTTTCTACATATACTTTTGAAAACCTTTCTTTGGGTGGGTGGGTGGGTGGGTGAGAGGTTTCCCTCTTCTTCTTCAGAGCCAACAAGAAATGATCCTATTCTTATGAACATGAGAGTCATGTTTTCAATTTTCCACTTCAGGAAGGTCAAACCTGTTTCACATTGCAATTAAATCTTGCTGATGGTGGAAGAGCAAGCAGGGTGTATCTCTTTAAACTAGTGCAGGGTGCCTTGGAACTGGTATTTCCTGAAATGCAGAAAAAAGTAGTTTTGGCTTATGGCACAGGTTTGCATGTGTGTGCCTATGAGTCAGTTTTGACTCCTGGCAACTGCCAGGACAAGTCCCTGCATTTTTTTTGGCAAGATAGTGACTGGCTCAAGGTCACCTAGCTGGCTTTGTGCCTAAGGTGGGCCTAAAAATTAGGGTCTCCCAGTTTCTAGTCTGGTGCCTTAACCAGTATACCAAACTGTCTGTCTTAAAGATAATTATATGCCCAACAACCTATAAAGATAGGTCAGATTTTCCGAGTTTCACAAAGACAAAACAATAATAGAGTTCAAAGGGAGGTCTTCTAGTCCAACCTCCTGCTCAAGCAGGGAGCCCTATAACATGATGAAATTCTTAAATGCATCTTTATAGAAGCTTAAGGAAATGAATGCAAGAATGTAGGAGATAAAAGAGCTGTAAGAGATAGAAGGAGTTTGATCCTGACCAGCTCAAGGTTGACTCAGCCTTCCATTCTTCCGAGATCAGTAAAATGAGGACCCAGATTGTTGGGGGCAATAGGCTGACTCTGTAAACCACTTAGAGGGGGCTGTAAAGCATTATGAAACGGTATATAAGTCTAAGGGCTATTGCTATTGTTAGAAGAATAATAGCATAACCTCATTTCATGGAAACAAAACCAATTTCATTGACAAAACAATTGGCACAGGCCTGCCAAGTGCTAATCTAAAGCCAATTCAGCTACTCTTGCTGGAAAAAAGAACGGGGAATAATATCACTGCAGCTTGGTGTAGAGTCTAAAACTGCTATCTTGTTTCCTAAAAAAAATGTTAGGAAACATTGTTGTTTCTCTTTTCTCAGAGCTCATGAGAATTTGTTCGTATTTGTTTTAATGTTCACCTAGTCTGTTATTATATCATGTGTTGTATTAGATTCATTGCATTATTTATATTAGATAGGTTTAGTTTGCCATTTTTAATGTTCATTTATCATTTTTGTTCCTCTTTTTAGAGATGTAAAGGGTTTTAAAAAATATTTTAAGGTTTTTATGTAATTTAATTTTTGTATTTTTAATGCTTTTAAATTCCTTATACCCCACCCTTGTTATGCTGGTCTTTGACCATAATTAAGGTTGATAGTAATTAGTTTATCCTGGTTCCGAGCTTTCTTATTTTGTATGGTGTTCATTAATGCTGTTTATGTTCCTGTGTAAGCCATGTAAAGGCTTCATAGGAAGATATTTTCACTGGACTTTAATGGAAGCATGGGAAGCTATTCATGGGAGAACTGATACTTGCTGTTGGTTGCTTGAACTCAGATGCTTTGTAATTAAGGTTAGTACATCCTTATTATGGGCGTCGCCTGTGAACATTTATTTTCATTCATTTTATTGTTTTTGGAAAGCTCTTTTTCCCTTCCAAAGACATGGGAGAACAATGGACGGTTCTCTAGATATTGCTGAACTACAACTCCTGATAGTCCCTGCCAACATGGTCAACTTGAGCATGGTGGGAATCAGGATTTCAGTAGCACCTGCAAGGTCACACATTATGAAGTCATATAATAATGGGCTGGTAACTCCAGAGTAACCAACAGAAGATCGATATCAGCTGTTATTGGGAATGTTATTGGGAATGAATGAAAAGTCCATTCTGGCCAGATTTTGTATTTATTGGTGATTTTTAAAAAGATTCCTAATAAATAATATAAGAACTCCTGCCTTAGGCAGGGGGTTGAACTAGAAGACCACCAAGATCCCTTCAGCCCTATGATTCTATGAAATATGAAGGCAGCGTAAAGCTTTAGTAGAGTGCGTTACTGAATTCTGAAGATATTCTACCAAGCAATACAGTCCCCCAAATTCAAAGAATAAAGCAAATCTGTCATATCACGTTATGTTTCTCCTGGGACCTTTTCTGGATCTGTAGTAGACAGAAAAGGCTTCGGTTGGAGAATGCACTCCAAAGTGAATTCCTGAGAAAAAACATCACATCATCGGTGCACCTCCACAAGGCACACAGTGTCACCATTGCAATACAAAACCTCTACAGAACTGAGACTAGCAAACCCAAATTTTGAACACATTGTCATGAAACATAGCTTGAAAAGTATCCTTTAATTCAAAGTCCACATTGCTGAGTCCACTATTTATAGATTTTTCTTTGGAATTTTTTCCCCTCGTAAAATCAGAGAAATGTATAATCCAAAAGATGATTTCCTTTCTCACTACATTTATATTTCATCTCTATTTTATACAACTCAGGGTGGTGAACATAATACTTCTGCTACCTATTTTCCCACAAAAAAATCTGTGAAGTGGACTGGGCTGAGAAAGAGTAAGTGGCCCAAAGTCACTCAACTGGTTTTCATGCTGAGAAAGAACTAGAATTGAGTGTTCTGGTTGCTTGACCACCAACTTCCCCACTACATGAAACTGTCTGTCTTAAAGGTCATTTTATCTCCAACAGCCCATTAGATCATAAAATAAAGGCAGGGCAGATTATCAAGGTTTTCATAAAGATGGAATCCCTCAAAGACCTTTTTGTAGAAGCTTAAGGAAGTGAATGAAAGACTCTGAAAGAAATAATAGCAAAACCCAATTTCATGGAAATGAAATCAATTTCATTAATAAAAATATTTTAAAAAGTCCTGGTAGCAAATGCAGAGTTGCTGACGGGCCCCAATATAATAAGGAGAAAGAGATCTAAGGAAACAAGACATAAAATCTTGTGTAAGGATAAATAATACTTTATAGAAGCTGCTGTAGAATAAAATTACATGTGGGTTTTTTTTTTGTAGTATGTAACTTTCAACAAAGCCTAAAATGTATAATTAGATTAACAAAATGTTAGTAGATGGATTAAAAAGTGATAAATAATATTGGCAATTCAAACAAGTCTACCTTACATAGAGGATCTACAAGAACTAGTGCTACTAACCACTGGCCTTCTTGGCTGAGGTTGATAGGAAATGTAGTGAACCAATGGACAGAGGGCAACAGTTCCTTTAGTTCTGAGAGGCAACTAACATTAAAGCATAGAAGATTATAATGGCAGAGTTGGGAAAGATGGATTCCATTCGCGCACACACAAACACAAACATGCCACATATGTTATTTCACTCTCCTTATTCTAGACCCCAAAATGGAAGTCACAATTTTCATTAGAGGATCAGAAAAGAATGTAGAAGGATGATTGTTGATTCACATTAATTCACCCCATTATTAGACACCCCATTATTAAAATGTTGGGAAAAAGACATTGGAGTTAATTTTAAAAATTAATGCAATGGGGAAAAAACCAAATTACAATAATCTTTAAATGTATTATAACACTTCCTTGTGTTTTATCTGTAGTTATATATGACAAACATTTTCTGGAGATTCAATAGAGTTCCATCATAGGGTGCTACTTACTTTTTTTGGCTTCTTCAAGCTTATCTTTGGCCCGTTTTTCTGCCTGGAGAAGTTGCTGTATTCCCTGAGACTGGCTAGTCATTTTGCCTTCTTGAGTTCAGAAAATGCCTATGGTAACTACAAAGGAGGAAGAAGGCTTTATGGCGTGACACCATATTTATTCAACGCTTCTTCTGTTGTGTCAATAATCAAACCATAAACTTTGCTCTGTCCCTTTCAGGATTAAGCCAGATTAAAACTATGGAAGAAAACAAAAAGCAGGTGCAAAGAAGTGGATCAACTGGTTTGAGGGAGTTTTTCCCCCCCCACCACCATAGCTGCCATCTTCAACATGGCTTATATGCAACCATCAACATAAAATCTTTGCCAGCTCTGTTTGACAGTGATATTTATGCAAGGTTTAGATTAAAAATATCAAGGTAGCAGCATGATTTGAGTAAAGTAAAACTCAGAAAGCACCTGGATTTTTTTCCCCCTTAATGCTTGCTTGCATTGCAGATCTTTTCCTGTGCAGTAGCTGCCATTAACACAGGCATATCAATCATTGCTATTATATCCCCCACTTCTTTGTTTAACATTGCAGGCATGAGCACTTAGGCATGTCAAGATCTCTAAGGTGACTACCATTACTGGGATTAAAAGTCAGGAGATATGGATCATGTGATGACATGGTTTCCATTTCAGTATTTTGCATTGTTTGTACATATTTTTATTTTTCAATTGTACATATATACATTTATATTTAATTTATACCCTTGATTTCTATTCTTGAAACAAGAATAATACATAAATGATCAACAATCATTTTTAAAAAGATAAACGTGGTTTTTCAAAAGTGCATTAAAGCACACAAATACAGCATATGTAAATATTATGCATTGAGACATTTTTGTTTTGTTTTTTTGAATAGAATTACACATAGCTAGGACTAGTCCAGGGGTAGGCAACCTCGGCTCTTTTATGACTCATGGATTTCAGCATAGCTGACTCAGGAATTCTGGGAGTTGAAGTCCATGAGTCATAAAAGAGACGAGGTTGCCTACCCCTGGACTAGTCCAATGTGGAGTGATTGTCCCTCTTCTCCTCCCCTCTGCCCTCATTTACTGGGTCTTCTGCTGCCTGATCGCTCTTAAGGATTAGCCTGTGAAAAAGGCCTCAATAAATAAAGTTGTTCATAACTTTGTCTCTCCTTATAATGAATACCATTAGATTTTGATCAATGTTCTTCAGACTGAAGCAATATATAATTACCATCCTGGCATGGGATGGCTTGAGACTCCTGAGCTGAAGTAGATGCTGAAGTCATAGTGGAAGAAAGAAAAAGTATTTTATCCTTTGAGCTCCTCTCCGCTGTCTTTGGGCTTATCCAGACATAGCAGACATTGTGCTATTAAGGTGTCAGTCTGAATCACATATATGTAAAAATAAGGGCTTTGATTCCATTATTTTATTCAACAACTAGATATATTTTTTTTACTCCCCTCCCATAGATGTCCCTGATAGTTTAGTTTCCATATTTTGGCAGGATAGTTGTGATGTAGCGACTCACTTAGGGAACTGCAAAGTAGGAGGTAGGGAGTTATATATTGCTTATCCTGACTGATAGAAGCATTTCAGAATATTCAGATAAAGAAATAAATTAGAACATGAAAAATATCTGCAGACAGATTTTTGTATAGCTTCTTCTTCACGTTTCACCTTTTGGAGTGGAATGTGTCAGTGTAAACTTTTATGTCAAGAATTGGCAACTTAACTTAGTTACCTGGTTCTTGTGGTTCACAAGTTGTGTGAGAGAACAGACAGCAAGATCTATTTTGTCTACTTTTATCTAATTGAGCCTTCCTTCCTTCCTTCCTTCCTTCCTTCCTTCCTTCCTTCCTTCCTTCCTTCCTTCCTACCTACCTACCTACCTACCTACCTACCTACCTACCTACCTACAGTGAAAGGGAGTGTGTAGGATATCTATCTAAAATGCTAAAGCTGCTTTTATTTATTGGATTTTTTTTACCCCGACTTTATTACTTTATAAGTAACTCAAAGCAGCGAATATACGTAATATTCTTTCTTTCTCCTATTTTCTCCACAACAATTCTGGGACCTGAAACAGCGTGACTGGCCCAGAATCAGCCAGCTGACTTTCATGCATAAGGCAGGACTAGAATTCACAGCCATCTGGTTTCTAGCCTGGTGTCTTAACTACTAGGCCAAACTGGCATTGTTTAGCTACATAGGTTTTTCCTGACACTTACCCTGGGAACCAAAAATGCAAAGCAGAAAAAGAAAGTGAATTGAAACAATCTGTTTTCATTTGTCTACCAACCAATGGGCTTACTTTCCAGATATAAACCTAGCAGCCCAGCCAAGGCTCCCTCTACTCCCCCCCCCCCACACACACCTCACTCCTGCTCCCTGGAATCTCCCCTCTAACTAGTTTATCAGTACATCTCCCCATTCTAAAGTCTGACTTCTCACACTTGCAGAAACTTTCTCCTACACACAGAAGGCACCTACAGAAAAACATCTTTTTAACCGCTTCCTATTCAGAATGCACGAAACATGACAGATGCACTGTGTGACCTGCTTTTGCAGCCCAGCTGCTCCACCCCAGGTACAAAAGGGTCTTGAACAATTGTGGTGTCGAACTGCAGCATTCTGCCAGAGGTTCTCTTCCCCTTCAAAGATTATTATCTTCTGAAGAGGATTTCAAAGGCCAAATAATAGACACCATTCTGATCAAGCTACCATGCATTTTTCACTCTCTTCCTTATCATGTAAGGGTAGAACACAGGAAGAAGATTTGTGGCACAGTACTATTCCAATCAGAAGAAGAGATTTAAAAAAACGTTTCTTTGGCTTCTTAAGAGTTAATAGGCTGTTGGTTTTGCTGTCCTTTGTTCAATTCTAAAAATGTCCCTGTTAGAACTGGTTGCCAAGCATGGCATTATTGCTGAAACTGGCAATGTGCTAAGGAGCAGATGCACCATTTGCTTTGCCATTCATACCATTTGCCTTCAAATGCATGCATTCGCACATGGACCTCACACAAACATAGAGTATCCCTCCCTTCCCCCCCACATTATGCTTTGTTTACATGGCCAAGTAATCAAATAAGCATTTCAGCTTGTGGCAAACTGGAATTGCTTCCTATCATGGCTTTATGCAAATGGGATATCGGTGAATTCGATCTGTGAGCATCACATGGCAGCCTGCCATTGCCCAAAAGAAGTAGACTTCCCAATTAGCAGCAGATTGACTTTATTATAGTTTCTATAGATGAGAAACTGGATTATTAATCTGTTGTTGGCCTGACAAACTAGCAAAGAGAACTTGATTATCTAACACTTTTTGGAGAAAAGTATAAAACTAAGCCGCCCTCCCCCCCCAAAAAAAGATTTACAAATGAACACAATTTTGTTGCTGGTCCAGTGGTAGGGAAGCTACTTTCTTTATTAACGAAACTTAGGAACCTTTGCAAAGACAAAAAGATGCATTTCATCTTTTCCATGCTTCAATTCTTGGCAAGCAGATTGAAAACCCCTGTAGCTGTGAATGACAAGATGGGAAAAAAAATGACACAGATGGATAATGGATATCACTAAGTAAACAATGGAGTTAGGATATGTCTAAACCACTGAGTAAAATTTGGGGCCTCTTCCTGGAGACTGAAGTAGCTGGATTTAGTATATACTGCTCACACTCTTTAGGGAGGTCAGAAAACCACTACCATCACCACAAAGCTCAGCTAATATGAGGAAAAGTGCAAATGGCACTTTTCAATGGAAATAAAAAGTTATTTGTTCCTAAAAAACACTGATCCTGGTTATCTATAGTTGCCATTGTCCCAATCACTTCCTTCAGTTTAGCTAGTTTTTTTTTAAAAAAAAATATGGAATTAACCCAGAGACCAAAAGAGTACATTTTTTATTTCCTAACCTGCATAGGCGCTCTTTAGTTGCATTCTAACAAAAGGTTTAATCTGGATTTACACTATTCTAAACGCAAATTACATTTTATCACAAATTAACCATACATGAAGTCACCCAAAAGGAAAAAAGAATCAAGATTAGGTGTAGCCAAAGTTAATAGGGCAGGACCCATAGGAAGGGTGATGGGTTGAAATCTCCTTTTTAAGAAGGACTCTGGATAACCTGCCTCTGCTTTCTATTCCTTGGAATAGAGGCTGTGTAATTCTTATTACTACCAGCTAACTTCTAACTTCTACCACGTAACCAGTGGTGGGATTCAGCCAGTTCGCACCACTTCGGCAGAACCGGTAGCTAATTTTTTGTTGCCCAGGCAACAAAATGGACTTCCGGAAGCGGCACCCACACAGAGAACCGGTTGTTCACATATTTGAATCCCACCACTGCACGTAACTACTACTTCTAACCTTTTCTTTCTGCTAACTCTGGCACATGAGAGGTCACCCACATCCTGTGGGGTTTTTTTTCAATTACTAGGTCAAATTGTAAGAAAAAAAATGTTACAGGGCTATTTCCCAGCGATATAGCACTGAGGCAAGGGACTATAAGTACCATCTTCTTTCTCCCATGGAGATAAAACTTAATTAAGAAAATAATTTTTATAATTCAAATGTAAAACCCTTATTTCCTGTTAAATATGAAAATGCAAAAGGTTAAGGAAAAAAATAGCTTCCTGAGCTGGGCAACGTATAACTAGCACCTTGTTTTTATTAAAAAAAAAAAAAAAGCCAAAAATGTAAAATAAATCATACTCAGAACACAAATAAATCGACTCAGAACACAAATCACTAATTTTACTGCTTTGTGTGGGTTTCACAAGACTTCAGCTTATCATGGCATAACAGTGAGATAAAAATCTGTAAAACTCCAGAACATAATCCAACTACCCTGGCTAGGATAGGCCATTTTACAACTTATACAAAGAGATAAACATAATAAACAATAAAAAAAAATACACACAGAAAACATTCAAAAGATCTTATTGCAAGCTTCTGACAAAGTATTTCTGTCTCTAGTGAACTAGCCTAAATTCTTGAAACAGGCGTTCTCACTTATTCCTGGAATTCACTCCTTCTTCATATTAGCAAATTTTAAAGTGAGCCTGATTAAAAATAGCACATTTAGAGGGGGAGTCTTAGTTCTTAGTTGAGAAAGTTGTGGTTGTATAAATACCAGCGTCCATGTGATATTGTATGTATGAGAGTTGAAGGGTTT